TATTGAACTTTATTTAGATTTATTTAGATTTCTTTCTCACAAAATATTTGAAGAGTTAACTTACTTTTAAAGAAGAGCAGCATAAATAAAACATTAAATTGATGAAAAGAAGAAAAATCAAACTAAATCAAACTAAAAAAAATCAAACTAAGACACAACACATTAGGGGGAAAAATATGGGACATGCCAGTAATAAAAGAGTACATTGCAAAACTATGTGTAGCTCAAAGCATACAAATTTTATCGGAAACAAGTTTTGAAAACTGTGTGTACTATCCCATCAAATGTTCTGAGAACAATGAGAAGCATTTATCTGGTATACATATCTATTACTGTTAGGTAATAATTTCATTTACAATTTTGCAAGAGACTGCAATATTAAGCCACTGGAATATTTTACTGTTAAAAGGCTGTTACGTATATAAATAATATATTCTGCTTAACCTAATTCCAAAGATTGTAACAAAAAAGGGAATCTGGTGAAAATTAGAATTATTTGGTTAAATACTGCAAAATGGCTAACTTATTATGAACGATGTACTTGTTCTCATGTCCATAAATGGAGAGTATTACAGCACCTGAATAAAATCACAGATTCTTATTACATCATCAACTGTCTAAGGCAGGGTCTGCAACCTTGACAAGTTTAAGACTTGTGGACTTCAGCTCCCAGAATTCCTCAGCCAGCTAGTCTTAAAGTTGTCAAGGTTGCAGACCCCTGGTCTAAGGAATCCATTGTCACAAAATGTGATGCTGGTCCCTAGCTTTCATGGCTTTACTGCAGGCATGTCAAACTGCCGGCCCATGGGCCGGATGCGTCATCTGGAAGCCACGCCCACCCCATTGCTGGCAATGGCAAAACCGTTCCATACATTGTATGATGTCACGTGACATCGCGAGTTTGATATGTCTGCTTTACTGTATTCTTTACAATATTCATGAAGACTACTTAATGAAGCTACTTTAATAGGAAATTTGTAGATTCATTGGCTATGTATTTCTGAACAGTAGATATTAGCAACCCATAAAAAATAGCTCTGAATACTTATTTTGCCATTTCTATTTTGGATACAAGTGATTAACTGAGGAGGCATCTTTCTATGTCTCCACAACAAATAAAAACAATCAACTCTCAGTGGGTCACATAGAAAAATACAATATAAAACAAACTTTGTACAAAAATATGTATTTATGGGAGTCAACCATGAGCCACAAATGTTCTCTTCTATTAATATGTATTTCTATCCTATACATTTCTAGGTGACATGTGGATATCAGAACCACTTTTTGTCATGGGTATGGTAAAATCAGACATCAAGAAATTTAGCACATTAATACTTGTAGAACAAAAGCTTCTTAAACTCAAGACAGAATTCTTAAATGGAGGAAGATAAATTACAGGTAATGGTTGGAAAGGGATAAGAAAAGGAAATGGCATTGTGCAAACAACTCTATATTTTAAAAAATTGCTAAAATCTAGGCTGGGAGGGACATGGTGACTAGAGCAAGAATACAGTTACTATATATTTAAATTGATATTTGAAGCTTAGTAGTTAGATGCTGATGTGATAACATGATTGAGACCAATCCTCAAGAAATGAAATGGCAAACATATTCAAATACATCATTTCCCACATTTTGTAGAGCTTCATAGCTGCTATACAAGAACCAAGGATCCTGAATTGCACATAAGAGAGTAAGAATAATAGGGAAGACTATTTAGAATGCAGTAGATTAGAATTGCCTTATTGAGGGAGGAATAAGAAATTATATGTAAATAGAAAGAATAAACAGAAATATTATATCCCAGATAATATTCACAAATTGTCTCTTTCCCTCCCACATTTGTAAACAGGAGAATACTCATGCATAATAAATGGAAGATGTTTTCTGGATGAAGTGGGGAAAATGGAATAAAGTAGGGTACTGATACTATGCTTGATCTTAGTAAAAAGGCTAAGAATTGGGTGTTAACAACTGCTTAGCTCCATTTACTCATAGAAAACCCATTTAGGATTTGATCAGGTAATCTTCTCTTGTTTTCAGTGGTGGGATTCGGCTGGTTTGCACCACTTCAGCAGAACCAGTAGCTAATTTTTGTTGCCCAGGCCCAGAATGGACTTCCGGAAGCAGCATCCACACAGAGAACCAGTTGTTCACATATTTAAATTCCACCACTGCTTGTTTCCATTGGGAAACTCAACCCAAATTAGATTTGGAGTAATGGATAGTGGCTATGGACCCTGAATCAACCAAATAAGAAGATTAAAAGACACCCATACCATATATAACTTGTCATACATCTTCACAAGTAATTTTTTTCCTATCCTGAATTTAAGTGTCAGCATCTTATCTGAACTTTCGACCAAATTGCTGTTTGTTAATCTAAATCAAAAACCAAGTAACATGCTTCAGTCTTATCACAGAAACTCTACTGCAAAGAAACCTAAGCTTATGTGCTTAAATATAGCAAATTTTAAAAGTGCAATTCTACACTCTGATTTCCAGGCCTCTTTTTTCTGTATTTAGTCCTGCTGATAAAAAACATTCCCCAGGGAAGCTTCTGATATCAAACTCTTTCTACCTTAAGAGAATTGAGGCCCTTGAGGGACAGGGATTCATCAGCAACTCTTCTGCCTAATTAAGTAGCAGTTTGATAGATGTGACAAGGACTCCCATTCAGCTCTTAACTGAAACAATGATATCTAAAATACACCACTCTTAAAAACAGCTACAGGTTTTAAAAAAGGGTCTGGAAGACATGGCGAAAGTTATTTCCCCCCCCCTCTCCTTTTCTGCCTTAAAAAGAAAAGTACAATCATGCAAGGAAGCGTCAAACAATAGATTACAGAGAAATGATTAGGTCTAAGGAAAATAATGGTATTTTGGTACTATTTATTCATTTCTTGCAATATTATTGCAAGCAATTTGCACTTTAGGCTGGTAAGTTACAAACTGAAGATAGAACTATTAAGCCTATTGTGTTATTTCTTGTTATTTAAAAAACTTTTAAGCATTAATTAGTACACTTAAGGTCTAGCAAATTCACGGAAGAGAAGAAACAGAAGCACACCATTTTGTTCAAAAATAATGAATCATCATACTGCAGACAGGCTGAATTAGAATTAAAGGAAAACGTTGAAAGGTTTTTTTTTAATGGTTTTATCTAGGAAAAGAGCAAGCTTATCTAAGGTAAGAAAATATAAAGACAGAATTACTGAATGGGTTGGATCCAGACTTTGATTCTCCTGGCAGGACCATCGCTAAAGCAGAATTCTCCTGGGGGAAGTTTCCATTGGGAAGCCTATGCTTCCTAAATCTCCCCCAAAATAGGAGAGGGCTGTCAAAGATGTCTCCTTCCTTTCTGCTCAAATAATTCCTATGCTAATTCTAAGGTTTTCCTTAGATTGGAGCCCTGGATTTGATCTGGACAAAGTCCAGATCAAATCCAATGTTATGCTATAGGCAAAATTCCAGGTTATTTAAACAATTTTGATTCTGCAACTAAAAGTTAACAGAATAACAGAGTTGGAAGGGACCTTAGATGTCTTCTAGTCCAACCCCTTAGTTAGGCAGGAAATCCTATAATATTTCAGACAAATGGTTGTCCAATTTCTTCTTAAAAACTGCCAGTGTTGGAGCATCCACAACTTCTGGAGGCAGGTTGTTCCACTGATTAATTGTTCTAACTCTCAGGAAATTTCTCCTTAGTTCTAGGTTGCTTCTCTCCTTATTAGTTTCCATCCATTGCTTCTTGTTCTCCCCTCAGGTGCTTTGGAGAATAGCTTGACTCCCTCTTCTTTGTGGCAATCCCTGAGATATTGGAACACTGCTATCATGTCACCCCAGTCCTTCTTTTCATTAAACTAGACATACCCAATTCCAGCAATCGTTCTTTATATATTTTAGCCTCCAGTCTCCTAATCATCTTTGTTGCTGTTCTCTGTACTCTTTCTAGAGCAGGGGTTCCCAACCAGGGGTGTGGAAGCGGTATTCCAAGTGTGGCCTTACCAAGGCATTATAAAGTGGTATTAACATTGATTCTATCCCTTTGTTAATGCAGCCTAGAACTGTGTTGCCTTTTTTGGCAGCTGCAGCACACTGCTGGCTCATATTTAACTGATTGTCCAGTAAGACTACAAGATCCTTCTAACAGTTACTATTATTGAGCCAGGTACCACCTATACTATATCTGTGCCTTTGCTTTTTCTGCAGAACCTTACTTTTTTCACCACTGAATTTCATTTTGTTAGATAGTGCCCAATGTTCAAGTCTGTATGTTCAAGTTGTATGTAATCTACCTCTAATTTTGTTGCTGTTTGTTAACATGTTTTCTAACATAAATGCATCAAAATTTCTTAAAATTATGATGCTTGAAAACTAAATTTACTTCTCCAATACGATATGCTTCAGATGATAGTAATTTCTTACACCTGGGAACACTGGTTATTTTTCCTTGCTCTGAAAGTCCATTCATTTGTGAAAAATCAAACAATTTTTTTAAATGGTTACAAGAGTAATCTTGAGTAATTTTACTTGGAAGTAAAATACTTTCTTTGGTGGGATTTAATCTTTGGTTAGCATACATAAGATTACAGTCATCCTGCTTCAAATTCTGAACTGTATAATCTGCATTTCATTGCATTTCTTCGAGATATTGTCATTTATTTCGAAGAGCTTAATGTTGTTTTCAAGATTTATAATTAAATAAAATACAAATTCCAGTACATTTTGTACTTTGTGCCTAGAGCTGATGGCAATGCATAAGCGCGCGCACACACACACACACACACACACACACACACACACGAGAAATAGTGTGGGAGGCAAGTATTAAGGTGCAAAATCTTGGTTCTGCCTATTGTGAATTAAATAAGTGAAGATAAGTGGAGGATGTATAGCCAAAACAGTATGCATTAACAGAGAAGGTTGCCAATATGTGCAACAGAAGAAGAGGGATTTCAATTTTTAGCAAAGACTTCTGACAAGGTAGTACACACCTTAGGAGAAGAGGAAAGCTCTTTCACTGCATGAATAGCTGACATGTTCTCACTTGCTTCTCTTTCTACCTTGGGTGAGAGAATTGGTAGTTCCGGAGCTTTTCTTTTCATCTTCCTTTCTGTTTCTTTCACTGAAGTAACTTGATCATTTAAAGCAGAACTTGCTTTGGGTTCATAAAAGGGATTGGATCTAATTGAAAGAAGGGAAACAAATTTATTTGCTATCTCGGTATTTTTAGTGCCATTCCTGAAAGTATTTTGTTTGTACCAAATAGCAACCGATGTAGTTTAATTAAAAAACAACAACACATAGAGACAAAAAAACCTGCTCTTTATGCTACTAGTTTCCCTGCCCCAAATAACCTGATGAGTGACGTGTTGTGCAGCTAGGTACAAATAATGCCTTAGGTCAAGAAATCTGTAGTCACCATTTTTAAAAAACTTTATTAGGAGTAAAATGGGCCCATAGAGGCCTTATATATATATATATATATATATTAAGTATTACCTCTTATTTCCGAAGACTTAGATTTAACACAGCAAAAATAATATTTTCAAACTCTTCGTTTTATTTGTATAGTAACAATCAAGATAATATAAACTGATAATGCTGACTATACTGACTTATTTTGTCCAAGTTCTTATATACTTTTCATACTTTAAATGTGGTCAAACCCTGTGAAAGGAAAAGCAAGATTGGAATGATTTTTCAAATTTAGCAAGTTAGCTACTCTTTAGCAATTTGACAAGGAAAAAAGAATTTATATATACAGTCTATAATTTTTTAGAGATTGGAGATACAGCAAATACTGTTTACTGGAACTGTCAGTTGTCTTAAGCAAGAAAAGAAATTAAAAAAAACCAAAAAACAAAAAAAGCTTTATGAACTGATATTCCCTAAAATCATATACTTATAGTGCCTTACATTACTTGTTCATTCTGTTATAACCCAGAGAGAAGAAGCATATTTAAGATACTTAATAATTTCATGAATTATCACATTTCTTGCATCAAAATTATTGAATACAATAAAATAAAAATTAGTTTTGTTTTTTTCCACAAGTTTGATTTTGAATCAAGTTATAAAAGTCTGGCTTAGAATATTGATAAATGTTCCCAAATAGATATCCGAAAAAAAAGAGGAAGCTATTAAATCTGTAGAAATTATGCTTTTTCTTCCTGAACAAGTTGGTACATTCCAGACAAAACACTGGCTTGCAGCTATTGTCCACGCTTATTTCTTATGATATCCTGTAAGGTCCAGAGAGGATCCAGAAGCATTCTTTGGAATTAAAGACTATACTGGTGGCTTGTACTTTGCTTTCAAGCATAGAGATAGATAGACAGGCAGGCAGGCAGGCAGGCAGGCAAGCAGGCAGGCAAGGAGGCAGACAGACAGACAGACAAAATTAAAAAGCCAGGTTGAAGAAGAAGTCTGGCAGGTGCCAAGGAAGGCTCTGAAATCACATGGTATCCCTGCCAGAGACTCCAGATAGTCAGCATTTCAGAATTTGGATTTAAATCCACTCTTGCTGTATTTATAGAAAAGCTTTTGAAGTAGACTAAGCTTCTGCAAACAAAAAACAAAAAAGTCATTTTGATGGATTATTCCATCCCTCCACTCATGCAAATCTGGTCCAGAGAACTGAGAACTTTCTAGAAAATTATTTCAGTAGCCTCACTGTTTCGGGAGAGGTTTTAGTAACATCTATATAAAAGGTCATTTGGAATTTTATTTTCAAAGTGTTTTGAACAATTTATATGAATCTAAAAGTGTATCCTCCTTTAATGATATATTTCAACTTTATGGAATTCCATTTTCAAAAGATCCACATGCTGCTAAATACATTCACAGAGATCTTGGCCTGCAGTTTGGATAGTTCTAACAGATTGCCTTTTAATTTAATGATTTTGGATTTATATTTATTTTCTCTAACATGCAAAAGTTTCATTTTGTTGTTGTTCTCCTAATTCAGTCTCAAAAGCACTCTGAATGATTTGGATTTTGAGTTAGATAAGAAGGATATAAACAAGGATGTTAATGCATTTACTACCACCCTGTGGCTTGTGATTTCTTTTGTAACCAGGAAGAACCATTCATTGGAACAAATCTATAGTAAGTAATTTTCTGAAGATTCAAGTTTTCTAATTATATAATTAGATTTCTGGGAAAAGAGAAAAGGCTTTAAAGCAAATATAAAACCTAACTGCATTCATAAACAGTACAGTAGAGTTGTCATTATTTATTGCAGACAGAAAATGTTGATCTTGGTTAAACAAAAAAAGTAACTGAGATGAAAATAACCAGGTTGAAAAGTGAATGCACCTTTGAGATGTTCTCACATCAGTGCTCTTCAAATGCAAAAAACATAAACAAAATCAAAGCTCAGAGTGATGTCAAAATAAACAATGGAGACATGCAGGACAAAAGGCAAAAGTGGAAAATGAATGGCACTCCATTTGGAAGAGAAAACTCAAGAATGTCTGTCAATCATTTAATTTTGCTAACAAGCTTGTTAAGCTTTGAAAGCTTAAAGCAGGGTGAGATTAATGATGAGAAAAGATAAGAACAAGGACAATGCATTATACATGGGAGGTTAAAGAGTTTTCTTTTGTTCTAAAAGTTATTTTTGTGTGGGGACATTTAACAAACACAGCATGTTTTAACAGCAAACTATCTGACCCCCTATAGCAGGGGTGTCAAACTCAATTTCATTGAGGGCCGCATCAGCATTGTGGTTGCCCTCAGGGGGCTGGGTGGGTGTGGCCAGGGTGGGTGCAGCCTACTGGATGGGCGTGGCCAGCTCTACATCGTTGGCATCAAGGGTGCCTGTGGCGGCCTGGGCAGGAGTGGGATAGATCTGAGGGTCTCTGGCAGAAGGGAGTGGGACCGGGGCAAGTGCCAAGGCATGGTTTACTGGAGGAGCCTCACTGTTCCTCTCAGGCCATGAGGGGTGGTGGTGGTTATGGAGCTAAGACTGAATGCGTTTCAGCATAGATGGTCACCACAAAATTGTACATTGGCTCCCGGCTGGCCTGGGCCAGGGCCATGGCAGAGGGGGCTATTCCCTCGCTGTTTCCAGGATGGCTTCACGGGCCACATGAAACCACTTCCCGGACCGCATCCGGCCCTTGTGTTTGACATGTCTGCCCTATAGTCTTGGAAACAGAGATTCAACATCTGTCAGAGATTACCCCATATCTAATGTGAGTAATGAGTAAGTTGCTACTAGTTACACAAATTTTTTTCCTATTTTTGCAGGAGTGCATATTTATTTTTAAGAAAATAAACTTTTCCTAAGTTTCTTAAAAACTTCTCAGAAGTTTTAAATATGCGACACATATTTCCACACTCCACCCACATTTAAATTAATTCACTTTAAATACAACCTAGGCACACACTCTATTTTGTATTATCATATATGAAACCTAGTTTTAAAATGCTTTGGTCCACCAGTTTGTAACAGGATTCCTGGGAACTTTTGCTAATACAGAAATTTAGGTTAATATAGACATTCAGAAAAGTTCAGCCTCTGCAGGACTCCTTTCTTTTGGAACAGAAACAAAGACAGATCGATGATTTAATATGTACATTTAGGAAAAAAATGGCCCAACCTGACCTCAAATGTTTGTCTTTTGGAAACTTTTGAATGTGCTTTTTTGAATATGGGACAACAGTATGAAACATCTAAGTTTTATTATGATATGATATATTTCTTGAAAAACTTTGATTTTCAGTTCGTGTGTCACTCTTATTTTACCAGTGTACAGTGTGATAAACATCAAAGAACCAAACTTCCAAATCTGAATAGATTTTAAATAATTTATCTATTATAAAATAGATTAAGGAGAGCATGCTTCACTAATACTGTAAAAGCAATATGCATCTCCAACTCAAAAGGTGCTCAAAATATATTTTAGTAATTACCTAACCCTGAATGTTTAAATAACGTATTTATTCTGGGTTGTTTCTGGATAAGAGATGTTCCCTTCACCCAAGATTATGTTTCATTTACTTAAGAAGAAATACTCTTGTCCAGAAATTTGTGCAACTGTGAAAAATGTGATCATGACTTCCACTACATTATATTTATGCTAAGCTCATGTGAATAGTTACGTGAAGAAAAAAGTATGAAGTTAAAATATGCACAAAATAACAAAATCGGTATTGAAATACTTTTCCCCCCCAAGATCTTGTTCTGGAAAATAATTCATAGGGCAATTTGAATAGAATTTCACATGACTCTGGAAGTGTCTTCAGACAACACTGGCTTCCTCAGCTAGGAAATGGAGATCAGCACGCCCCCCCCCCCCAGAATTGAGTACAACCGGACACCTGTACCTTTTTTTCTTTAGGTTACTAGTAGTCCTTAATTTCCAACCGGCTTTTCAATGACCATTCAAAGCTACAAGGCCTCAAAGAGTGCTTTTCCAGCCATTGTAAATCATCACCCACACCCTTCACCATGGCCCCATTAACATATTTTGGGCACTTGGCAACCAGCTCACATTTATGACTGGTTGTAGTTTCCCATGATCACATGACTGTGATTTGCAATGCTTTTTGTCAGTTTCTGGCATTTTTTTGCCAGTTTCTGGCAAAAAATATTGATTTGGGAGAATGGAATGGCAACAATCATGTGACTCTTTTAACAACCACATGATTCAGACTTATAACTATGTGATTCACTTAACAGCCATTGTAAAAACGGTAAAAAAAAATTGGGTCTGATTATGTGAGTGCCTCAACATACAACCACAATGAAATATTCTGGTGCCAACTATGGTTGTAAGACCTGCAAAGCCCTATAGTTCTGGTGCATGAAAACTAGGAAAATAAAACTCAAATAAAGCTGGGACTCCCTGCGAGCTGAATATGATTTTAAAAAAATGCTATGGAATGGGGAAGACAAGTTAAACAAATTTTGCTCTCTCTCTCTCTCGTGAAAAAACCTTTGGAAGAGACCTCTGGAATCATGATGAACCATCCACATTTAGTATATTTCTTTCCTGAACAAGCTGTAATGAAGGAAAACCTAAAGAGGGTGAAAGCTCAATACAGGCCCCTAAAGGTACAACAACATCCCTTCTAGATAATGCCTGTTGTTACATTTTATAATTTAATGTGACTATCTTTCTTGCATAAACTAGTTTTAAAAGTTTGGTTCAGAAGATAAAACTAATGTAACA